AGTTTGGTAAAGCAGGAATATAAAACTAATAGTGTTCATTTTTAGTTTTTTCGTCTTTTTGTTTTATCTTATCTTCTTATTGTCGCTTAATCATGGTCTCTTCTTTTTATATGGAGTTCTCCCGTCCATAGAGGCCATGAATTCTTGCATGTGTTAGATGTCAAACAATTCCCTCAAATGTTCTTCTTTAGCTTAAAACTCTTGATTTTCACAGGTATGCCACTGAATCTTCTGATTACATTTTCCTTGGAGCTGTAGGATTTTGGGGTTCCACTTTATTATCCAGAATATTTTGGCATTGAGAGAGACTATACAGATCATTTCTACGTAGCCCAGTGTTTTCCAAATGTAAGTATGTATGTATGGGGGGTGGAGATGTTGTGGAGAGAAGAGGCAGAGAATGGACACCTAGGAAATGACAAAATGGAATCAGAAACTGGTTCTTTTTAAAATTATACCTTTCCATCCTGAAAAAAAAAAAAAAAAAAACAGATATGCCCCTGCCCAGAGACATTCAATGCTATACTGAACCACTGTGAATAATGAGAATGTGTTATAATGCTCAAGCACATTCTTCATAAAAATGGAAGAATATCACAAATTTTCAAATATGTATATCCACATAAAAGGAACTTGATGCCTGGAACATTGTAACTACCCTCCCTCAAAATAACATATCTACTGCTGGTGACAAGTCTAAGACTTTCAGTCCTGTGCACCTTCTACCTAGGGTAGGTTATAAACTGTCATCCACAAGTAGGATTCTGTCACAGGTATCCACACGATTTGTTATTCTACATCCTGCAATATTTGGATATTTTTAATATCTAAAGTATGTTAAAATGTTTTTTTGGGTTAAACCATCTTCCTTTTGTCTTTGCCAAAATTTTAAGTTGTTCAATTAATTAGGCTGTACCTACACCACCACATAATACTACTATGGAAGAACTAAGCTTCTTTTTATTCTTGTTGTCATTCTCCATGTTCAGTGGTTTGAAAACCATGAAATTGATAAGATCCTCTCACTTATGGAACTGCCTCCACTTTCTGATTCAACGAAACAGAATTTATTAAGCCTCTGAGTAGAATATTTGTCTTTCTATCATTATTTAACATTTCCACATTAAGAAGCTAGGAAATCATCTTTTCTTTTTCATGAAAATGCATACCTATTTCACTCCTTCATTGCAAAGATACTTAACAGGTGCATATGAAACAGGTGTGAAAAGATTTAGCTCTAGGATTCTGATCCTTATCTGTTCATTAGAAATGTCTTGAGGATATCAAATATTATAAAATATGTATCACTATTTTCCATATTGTTTTAGACATTCTGGAAGAATGCCAAAAAATTATAATTTTTCTTAGCAATATTTTTATTAAAACCTTCACACCTAGAGCTAAATCTATTGATATCAAAAATACGAATACAGAGGAATAAACATGAGTGGGAAATCTGGCCTAGCCACACGTTTCCATGTGGAGGACTTCCACTGGAACAGTGGTTCTCAAAGGACATGTTTTTGGCATTGGGAGTGGGGGAGGAAAATTCTTCATTGAGCTGGACCTCTACATTACACAGGGCCCCCATTGCCAGTAGCTTTTAAACATATAGTAATAATTTGAAAACACCTCCACTTCTTTCAAATGACCCGAAGGGATGATCCAGGTTGGAAAATCAGAGCACTAGGTTAATAGTACCGGCCTCAGATCCCACTCCTTATTTGCAGCTTCCCAATAGGAGAGTTATCTGACTGGCGGCTGAAATCCATTGGTCCATATTACTCCAACGGGTAGATATTAGTTATTATAACCCTGTAAGTACCAGAAGTTTTCCTTCTTTTACTTCACTTTCTGCCCTGGACCATGCATATCAGTAATTCTGCGTAAATGTAACTTTTCAGCAAACTGAAATTTTCTCTCACTGAAGTCTAGGTTCTGAGAAAAAGAAGGGGACATAGAAATGGGTGGGAAGTACTCATTTTTGGTCTCCTATCCAAAGCATTATGACTAGTCAGACATTTAGTCATGAAGCTGATATTGTAAATTCCACCTGTCTACAAACTCGAGAAAAAAAGCTATTATCTATTGAGCCCCTAAAAACTTTAACTTCATTAGAATGATTTCCCTAATCAATTTGTCTTCATACGTGCTTCTTATCCAGAAATGGAGCTAAGAAAGGAATAGTTAAATATTAAAGAGTTCAAATAAAATTATAAATGCTAATAAAGAAAACAAGCACTCCTATATACTCTTATGTTTATTACAAAAGCAATAAATGTTTTCTCTTTTCAATGTCTCCCTATCTAATGATAATATCTACTAGATACCCACTTTTATTGGTAAACCTAGGTAAGGAAACCTAGGTGAGGAAACTTCAGCAAACAAAGTAACTATTTATAGCCTTTTATTTAAATATAGAAATCAGGAAAAGAACCACAGTGCAACCACAATATATCTTAGCCACAGGAAAATTAAAATAGTATAAAAGATAACTCACTTAATTTGAAGAAAAGAGATTTAGGAGTCAGGTCATAGTATTCAACTGGCATATCCTAAAAATAATCAGCTTTTCTTTGTCCAAAATGGACTTTTAGGGCAGCCCGGCTGGCTCAGTGGTTCAGCACCGCTTTCAGCCCAGGGTGTGATCCTGGAGACCGGGGATCGAGACCCGCATCGGGCTCCCTGCATGGAGCCTACTTCTCCCTCTGCCTGTGTCTCTGCCCCCTCTCTCTCTTTCTGTGCTTTTCATGAATAAATAAATAAAATCTTTTTTAAAAATGGAATTTTATAAAAGAGACAATTTATGTATTGAATGTTTATCTCAAAATTACAGTTTCACATTTTCTCAAAATATTTGACAATAATTTCTCTTTCCATTTGCTTAAAAGTAAGAATATCCTTTAAGAGAATGACCAAAGGGCATTTGAAAAAAATTATAGCTTACATGGTTTTGAAAAGACAGCAAAAATTTATCGAGCACTACTAGTTCCTGCTTATTAAATAGTTAAAAAAAAAAGGAGGGGGATGGTCGGATTGACTTAAAATCTTGAATTAAAGTTATGGGAAAATGCATTGTGGAAGAAAGGAAAAAGACCCATTCTGTTCCCAGCTGTGTACTCAGTCTCTCTCTGGGACGAGGCAAGGGGGAGAGTGATTTCTTTATCACTCAGGAAGTTGATCCAAAACAGGATCTTAATCCAGGACCACTTAATGCTTCAAACTGTGTCTTTCTCTCAGGGGAGAGTCATCAGCTTTCCTTGTCTTCTCAAGGTAGTATATGACACCAAAAAGGTCATTCATCTTTGGAGCTGAAGGTCATCTTTCCCAATCCTTGCAGGCTAGGTACATACTTTGAAAAAACTAGTGATGTCAATGGGGGGGAAAAAGTGTCGTGCAAGACATTTACAGTGCTACATAACCAGAACTATCAGAGAATCAATAACAAATAAAGGAGTTTCTTCTCCAATTCTAAATAGCCCAACGATAAGTCACAAGGGAAGTGTGAAAATACTTTAATCTGAATCATCATACTTCTTAGGTGTCTACAAATTCAGATCATACAGACCAAAAGATAAAGTGTAACAAATAACACTTCACATTCGTGTAGATCATTAATAATAAGTTCATGATCAATTATTCCTCTTTACTTTTTTAGGAACAAAGGGCACAGTAGCCCCACTTTATAGATGAGAATACAGTTACGAAGGTTATTGCCCAAGGACAAATATTTCCTAACCCTGCCAGGTTTCTAACTTCTAGGCCCGAAGTCCTCCGCTGCCTTATCAAGCAGCACAAGCTTCCTTCCTTCTTGGGGATTTACACAGTAAGCCTAGCAGAAGGAAGTCAAAGCAGATTTTTAGCTCCTTTTGTGTTTTCTCTCTGCAATGTTTGTTCTGCTGAATCATTTGGGCCCAACTGATAGGAGCCAGGAGATCCGAAGGGGTTATCATCTGTAGTCACCAGCTCACAGTTAATCATTAAATGTGGGTCAATGGAGCAAAGGGGCCGTAGGCGCTTAGTATCACCCACTTTTCCACAGAAGGGTCAAGAAAGGGAGGTCATGGACTGGGGGGGACCTGTCCAAACCTGAGTTGCTTCAACTTGTTGCCTTGCCCCCTGAGCTCAAATGGGCAGCAGCAGAAAAAAAAAAAAAAGAATTATAGGTCCAAGAAAGCAGATGTCCGCACCTCCTGTTCCCGGCCATGCACGGACACGGACACTGTGGGTTCAGGGATGCGCCAAGCAGCAGGCAAAGATGCCCACCCCACCCCACCCCATCCCACCCCACCGCTTACTTGCACCTAAAGCCACCCATCACGCTGCCTGAGGCTTTTCCCTGCAAATGTGTTGGTCTGCAGATACTTATTAGGAAGGAAAGGCAGAGGGGAAAAAAAAAAAAAAGGTAAGGAGACGGGGGGGGGGGGGGGGGGACACGGAGGAGGGAGCAAGCACTACATACACACCCGCAGCGCTGGGCAGCGCGAGAAACGACAGCGAGGTAAGTGACAGCACGAGGGAGCCAATCCCAGGCCCTGGGGGGGGGGGGAGGTGGGCGGGGCTAAAACGTCCAGGGCCCCGCGCTTCGGCCGGACACGCTGGCAGGGCGGGAACCGCGCGTTGCTAAGCAACAGCGGCGGCCACGCCCCCCGCCGCCTCTCCTCTGCACCCCCCTCTCCCGCGAGCGTCCCGAACGCCGGAAGGGGTCCCTAAGTTAGCACCGTACCTCCTGCGTTTCCCGGGCCTCGGGTTCCCCCCCACGCACAGCCCCGTTCCAGAACCTCCGCGCACGCGGCCCGCCCGAGGGCCGCTCTCAGGGGGCGGGACGAGCCTTCCTCAAGGCCCGTGGGGGGCCCACGAGCGGGGGGGAGGCTCGCTGAGGACGTGCGGCCGCTTCCAGGCCTGGACGCTCCCCCCCCCCGCACCCCGCCATCCCGCCCCGGGCTTCCCTGGCAGGGCCTCCCCCTCCAGCCCCCCTCGCCGTCGCCGGACACACACACCTCAGCTCAGCCGAGGCGCCCGGGGCGGACAAAGTTGGCGTCCGGCGGCGGAGGTTGCTGTCCACGGTGCTGTCACTCAGAGGAGGGGCGGGACCAGCGGGCCGCGCGGCCCTACTCCCAAGGGGCGGTGCGGGAGGGGGCGGGGCCCGGCGGAAGGGGCGGGGCCTGGCGGCGGCCGCGCGCGCTGATTGGCCAGCGTGTCTCCCGCCGCAGCCGCTGCCGCCGCCGCCGCGGGTCCCCGCCGCCCACGAGCGCGGGCTCCTGGAGCCCGGACCCCGAACCCACGAGGCAACCCCAAGGAATTGGAAGGAAGAACGAAGGGCTGTGACTTGTTTTATAGGCAGAAAACACACGCAGAAATGCGTAATTTTGCTGTTGAAGCCTGGCCACCCGACACTCGCGTGCACGCTCTCGGCATCCGCGCTCCCCGGGGAGCATCCCTGGGAGGAGGCATCGGACACCCCTGAAAACCGCGGGGGGTGGGGGGGTGGGGCTGAAGCCTCTCACCCGAGGTCCGGCAATTAGGGCAACGGGACCTACAACTTGGATGGGGATGAGCTGCAGAGCCGGGGAGTTTCGGGCAAGGGAATGAGTCACACCTTCGCCCAGGTGCCCCTCCCGACCCCCCAGGAGAGCTCCGGGTGCCCAGGACCTCTGGACGCTGGGGCGGGGCGCGGGAGGCTGCATGGATTCATCCTCCAGCCACTGCAAAAGTGCACTCATCATCGTTATTATTTTTAAGTCTGTGGTCCATCAAATTTAAAATTCTTTCCAAAAAAATTTTTTTTTTTTTTTTTTTATTAGAGACACAGGCAGAGGGAGAAGCAGGCTCCATGCAGGGAGCCCGACATGGGACTCGATCCCGGGACCCCGGGGTCACGGCCTGGGTGGAAGGGAGGCGCTGAACCGCTCAGCCACCCCGGGCGGCCCCTCTTTCAAAAAAAAAAAATTATATATATGCGAGTTCTAATTTAATTCTCAGTGTTTCTCTTGCTCCAGTGTCAAGTCATTTTCCTGTATGTAGGGCCAGCGCTTTGGACCAAAAACAAACAAAACAAACAAACAAACAAAAAACGAAAAACAAAAAAATCCGCCCTGAGAAAGGAACTAGCACGCAGAATGCAGAAGGATTGAGACCAGGGTAAATAAGAGACCCAGCTAGAAGGTCTCTGAAATCTCTCAGGGTATCAGGGCCAGGAATTGAATCCAAAATGGGATTTTATTTTATTTTCTCCTCCATCATTTGCTGGTCTCCAGTCTCTGTCCAGAAATAGAGGTGAAGTTCAAGGAGGGTATCTTAACACTCTTAACCAGATTTGTATACACGAGGTTTTTAAAATAGTGCAACCCTTTTTCCTTCTTTTTTTTAAAAAATATTTTATTTATTTATTCATGAGAGACCCAGAGAGAGAGAGAGAGAGAGAGGCAGAGACACAGGCAGAGGGAGAAGCAGGCTCCATGCAGGGAGCCCGACGTGGGACTTGATCCCGGGTCTCCAGGGTCACGACCTGGGCCAAAGGCAGGCGCCAAACCACTGAGCCACCCGGGGATCCCACACCCTTTTTCCTTCTATCTTAAACCAATGCCCAGGAGTGTATTACCTTGTCGGATACGGTTGTAATCATAAAGGAAAACAAAACAAATCAATTCTTCTGGACGAGAAGTGCGTTGAGATTCAATTAAAATATCCAGGGCAAAAAAAAATAAAATAAATAATAATAAAATAAAATAAAATAATAATAAAATAAAATAAAATAAAATAAAATAAAATAAAATAAAATAAAATAAAATAATAAAATAAATAAAAAATAAAATATCCAGGGCAGCCCTGGGTGGCTCAGTGGGTTAGTGCTGCCATTGGTCCAGGGTGTGACCCCGGGGTCCCAGGATCGAGTCCCACATCAGGCTCCCTGCTCGGAGCCTGCTTCTCCTTCTGCCTGGGTCTCTGCCTCTCTCTCTCTCTCTCTTTCTCTCAGGAATAAATAAATAAAATATTTTTAAATGTTTAAAATATCCACTATACTATGATAAAATTGTTGGGGGGGGGGAGAAACATTCCAATCGCAACTGATTTTATTCTCTTGTCCTGCTGAATTTTCAGATTCTTCTGAAAGCTCACTAACGATGAATACCTCTCCCCAGAATTTCTTGATTTGTATGACTCATGATCACCATTATGTTTCTTTAATCTTTTAAAAATATTTGGTTTTAGACTAAAAAGAAAGAGCTATGATTGTATATTAATAAGCACATTACATAAATAAATACTGTAAGATTTAAAATAAAAGTGGTGAATTATTTATTTGAATCCTTTTTCAATTGCATATTCAAATAAGTACAGCAAATGCATTTGTTTGAATATTCTCACATATATAAGAGATTATACATTTAAATAAATGTATTGTATGCATGTAAATGTGTAATCATTGAAATAAACACAGCTGTATATTTCCCATATGTATAGCTCCAGATGTTTGAAGCATACATTCAAATTTCTGGAACTCTACACCTTGGTATCTATTTAAACATCCAGTAGAAAATACTGTGCTACAAATCCATAGGAATACACGTCAAAACTCTACCCGCAATGGGGAAATCAGGCCAGAACAATGAATAATGAGTCTCTGTCACTAAATTTATTATCTTGAGCATTTTCTCATGAGATAGCTTGTCCTGGCAAGTTGTGCTGCAAACACTTTGCTGTTCTGTAAAATGAGCACTAGCCACCTCACCCTATATGAATATGACTATTGCAATGTAGTTTTATAGTACTTCTATCCAAATAGTTAAACTCCAAAAAATAATATTTCTAGTTCTCCACTCTGGAGTAGAAGAGTCTCACGTTATCCATGCCTCAGTTATTCATTTTTTAACTTATGCTTCTGCTCCAATATATGGAACATATATAATTTGAAATTTCCCCTTAGGCACAAATATACATTAGAAGAAATAATGAAGTACAAACTAACCTAATATGAAATAAAATGTATCTTAGGGACATTGAATAAGAAGTAAATGGCTTAATGTAAAATTAAAACATCCAGATGTATGTTATGAATATGCTTATTCCTTTGCCATGTAATGACAGACATGCTTTATTTAAATTTGTAGTAGGTTGAAATATAAATTGGAATCTAATAATTACATGTGCTAACACTTTAGATGAATATGCATATAGCTTAAAATTTGGGGGAACCAATATGGATCATTTGCAGAAATTATGGTTCTGTCAAAATATATGATATTCATTAGGCATATTAAAATAAATAGAATATCAAATTATTTGATATTTTTCAGCAGTGCTTTGCCTTAAATATTAAAGTTTAAATATCGAAATTAGCCCTCTCAGTAGCCAGAAAATGGCTGCTTAGTAGGTCGGCTATGCATATTACTATTTCTGTTCAGTCATCCTAGAATATAGGGAGGCCCTTTTTTTAATATTTTATTTATTTGAGAGAGTGAGGATGATTAGGAGGGGAGGGGCAGAGAAAGAGGGAGAAGCAGGCTCCCCCCAAACCCAGCAGGGAGCCTGACGTGGGGCTCAATCCCAGAACCTTGAGATCATAACCTCAGTGAAGGCAGACGTTTAACCAACTGAGCCACTCAGGTGCCCCATAGGGAGGCATTTAAAGTGAATTTTGTTTAAGACATTTAAAGAAATGACTTTTCATGTGAATTCATTTAAGAAATCCCTGTGATCCCCAAAGTCGTCTTTTTTTTCTATTTTAACTGCTCATCTTTATTGATAAAATAGGCTTCTATGCAATACACACTCTCAGATGTAAATTTAAGGTTCTGCTTTAATATATATATATATATATATATATATATATATATATATATATATGGAAACCTTACCATATAACAAAGTAAATGTCTTTATTTTATTTATTTTTTAGTAAATGTCTTTAAACACCAAGATCTTAAAACTATAGCCAAATAAGAAGACCAAGAATAAATTAACTTGTTTATAAAAATAATCAATCAAACAGCATTGTGTAATAGAGCTTGAAAATCATGGTTTTAGCCCATAATGCTATAATAAAACCTTGAAAATGGGTATGCTTTTCCTAAAGAAAAACTTCCTTCACAAACCTCATAAAATTAATAAACCATAAAAAATAAGTTATGAACACATATTACAAAATATTTTGAGGATATAATTTCAACGTATAGATGCCAGCTATTTCTTAACCGACAAATGACATGTCGGTAAAAGGTATATCTTGTAGCCAGTTGAAGCTGTTTACATTTACTTTTTTTCTCCGTTTATTGAAAATTTAACCCAGTATGATAATGACTCTAAACCGAAATCAGGATGCAGTTTATAAATAATTCCCCAACAGGATTTTTTTCTCTTCTTAAGGGGACACATAATAATAATAATAATAATAATAATAATAATAATAATGGCCTTTCCAGTTGATAGCTGCCTTATATCCAGGTGGTGACTCATTAATCAAAACTGCTTTGATCTCATACCCCTTCCCTCTCAAAACAAAGCCTCTGAATTCCTCACATGAGGAGAAAAGAGCAACTGCAGAATTTTATAGTTTTCACTGCTACAGCACGGACTTGAGGCACAGCATCTGTATGTGCTTTTGTCACTCACTATCTCTAAGGCACCTCAATATCATATTCTTTGAGTATCACAGTGATAACAGCAACCTTCCTGTGCTCCCCTCGTATCTTACCCTCCCACTTTCTCCAGCTCAAGTACTGCAGAGCCCACTTACCAAGGCTTCACTTGCTCTTTTATTTAGTCGTCCATCACTTTTTAGTGTACTTTATACATAATTTACCTGTTTATCATGCGAATTACTTATTATCTTTCTCTACCTCAAGAGTGTACGTTGCTTGAGGGTAGAGATCCTGTCAGTCCTTAAACGGTGTACCCCAAGTGCTGAGATCAGTGTCAAGCACCTAATGGACACTCAATAAATTTTTGATTAAATTAATCGATCTGCATAGCTGTAATTGACTTAGTTCCTTATCATACTCTAGTGCACAAATATGCTACAATTCATTTATCTGTTCTTCTATTGTAGGGCTTCGGGGCTATGTCAGGGTTTGTTC